AGGAAGGAAGGAAGGAAGGAAGGAAGGAAGGAAGGAAGGAAGGAAGGATCGAACTGCTGGCAATGAGCAGAGTCAGCCTGCAATACTGCATTCTAACCACAAGGAAGAAGGAAGGAAGGAAGATAGCAGTAGCACTTAAACTTTTATACCGCTTCACAGGACTTTTACAGACCTCTCTGAGTGGTTTACAGAGTCAGCCTCTTGCCCCCAACAATCTGGGTCCTCATTTGACTGACCTCGGAAGGAAGGAAGGAAGGCTGAGTCAACCTTGAGCCGGTCAGAATCGAACTCCTGGTCATTGGGCAGAGTCAGCCTGCAATACTGCTTTCTAGCCACTGCGCCGGTATGGCTCTTTGCACACACAAACACACAATTTGCGAACCCTTTAAGACATTCTTATCACATCGGGGAAAACATTTAGGAGCAGGGAAAACTCAAAAGAAGGATGCATCCGCAGCAATTCCTATACAGGAAACCCTCCTTGTTTAAGGGTAGTATATCTTTGACATAACCATCCCTTTGTCTCCGCGCCTCCCTATGGGCAGGAGGCCGACATTTCTCCCTGCAAATTAAGATCAATCAATCCTGCTTGCCCGGTATTGTTTGGTTTGGGGACATTTGCCACCTCCCATTGCTAAACTCTTCATTGGCCCATTCGCAAATGCAACAACGAAATCTCAGAACCTAAAATCGGACCTGGATTTGAAAGGATGTCTTCCCGTTTCCCCCAAACTGGTTTCCAAGGACTGCCCCTCTCTTGCCCGAGAAAAACAAATCTCTGAGTAAAATCGGAGGTTATTTGGAGCGAGCATTTTAGAGCATTGTGCTGTCCTTCCCTCAGGGCCTCAGTCGCCCCCTCTGTAAAATGGGTGCAAAAAAAAACACCCGAGGACATTACTTTGATGCAAAAAGGGAAAACCAAAACTTATGGCAAGTGAGGAGAACATCCATCATTTTAAGAACTGGACCCCACCCCAAAATATCTGACGCTTGGGGGTTACTTGTAGGTGCCTGCGATGCATTCAGAGTAGGTACCCCCAATTATGATTTTATTATTATTTTATTAAATGGATGGGCCGTCTAGCTGGCCGTGGGGGTTAGTCTAGGGCAGCTTACAACAACGGAAAGAAAGATAATAGAATGATAAAACGAACAGTGGAAGAGAGCACAACGAGAAAGACAGCGATATGATTACCAAAAAAAGAAAGAATGAAGGGCAGGTGAAGAACATAGAAGTGAGGAGGGGGAGTCTGTGGTCAATTGTGGAAGGAAAACTGGCTGGAAAAGGGAGAAAAAAGGGAGAAAGGGGGAAGGGGCTTACCTTGATGGAGCAGGAGAGCTGCAAGCAAAGAAACAGAGAGAGAGAGAGAGAGAGAGAAATATTATGCAATCAGCATAATTGCATAATAATTAGCAGAAGGTAGCACCAAAACTTGAGACCTTAAAATTGGGTGGGGGCACTGATCAAAGAAACCCTTCCTCAGGTAGTCCTTGACTTAGAACCATTCGTTTAATGACTGTTTGAAGTCCCAAAGGCATTGAGAAAAAGGGCTTGTGATCGGTCCTCGTGCTTACAACTGGTGCAGCGTGGGTGGACTTCGACTCCCAGAATTCCCCAGCCAGCATGCTTTAAGAGGAGTGGACTTCAATTCCCAGAATTCCCCAGCCAGCATGCTTTAATAGGGGTGGATTTCGACTCCCAGAATTCCCCAGCCAGCATGCTTTAAGAGGGGTGGACTT